TGCTGAAACTTCCTGATGCTTTCCCTTTACAGACTTGTCTGTTGTCTTAAATGAACATAAAAGGAAATGCAATACTGTAGCCATTCTGTCTGTGTTCTGACACATCTTAAAGCAGATTTTCTCCCTGGCTTCAGCAGCATGCATGTCCAATGAATCCTTTGCCTTCAGAGAGCAGAAGTGGGCACGTAGAGTAAGTTGATTGCTGCAGTGAATATTTAAGTCTCGTAAGGCCAATGTGTGCACTTTCTCTGGTGCCATTTCTCTGTTGTAGCTGTGACTAAACCAGTAATTAGTCACACATCTGCTCTGTACTGTTACTCTGAAATATGTCCTCTGACTGAATACCTGGTAACATCTGTTGCAGTAAGGTAGGTGGCGGAACTTTAATTTAACATTGTAAAATATCCTGTGAGTTTAATTAAACAGCTTATCTGAAACGCATGTCTGTGCATTCAGAAAGTAGTAATCACCTGTGGTCTAGATGTTTTCTAGGGCATCTTTTTTTATTTCTGCTTCTGGTGATTGACTTTGTCAGAAATCCATTTGGTATGATTCTCTTGAGGCTTTGACAAATCATTGTGTGAGGAACACTATGAAAACAGCATTTTCCAGAACCATTGAGCAGAGGAGCTCACAGGTCTCATCAGATCACTTTTTAGTGAGAAGTACTTGTGAACTGCCACCCTTAGTGAATGTAGATTCCTCCTTCTCCCCCTCCCCCTTTTTTTCTCAGAAAGTACTTTTTTACACTTGATTCCTAATTTTTAGCTTTTGTAAATTTAGCTTCATTTGATTCAGGAAACAAGATTCCGATACTTCTTGGTGACTTTCCCATCCTGCATGTAGTATTACTAAGCAGAAGAAAAGTGAATGTAGTGAATTTTTCTTTTCAGAACCCATTTGGAACACTCAAAAGTTATGATTAACTACATCTGAATAATAATATGTAACAGGTTGTTTTGAAGCACTTGTTTCTTACTGTGTTTGGGAGTTGGTGCTGAGCCTTGCCTTGTGTTGATGTTTTCTCTCACCTCCCCCTTCCCTGTTGTCTGGTGCGTGCTAACTACAAAAGTTTCAAAAAATTGAAAGACTTTGGTTTGTATACTACTGACTGTTTCACTAATCAATATTTAATATGGTTTTCATAGGATATGTAACATGACACTGATATTCTGGACAGGTAATTTTCATTGTTTGAAAACCTTACATAATAAAGGGAATCAGGTAACTGCTAGAAATGAGCACCTTATATATTTTTTTAGCATCATATTGCCAAGGAACTGTTTTGTGAAATCCTCTCTTGAAAAACCTACAGCTTTATACTGTTGCAGTTAGAATCAAAATAGTCCTGCAATTGTCAAAGTGAAGTTAATATTTAAAGGGACACTGTCACTTTTTAAACTGAATTTACATCCTGGTTCTAAAAACTCTGAATTATTGCTCCCTTACTCAAATTTTGTAAGGCTGTTTGGTGGAATTCAGAACAATATTAAAGAGCAATGAATCTAGTCCCCTTGGCTTCCTTCCTATCCTCTGCACATGGCTGCTTGTGGTCTCTTTGGTTTCAGCTTTGCTGTGGCTGTGTGCACCCTCTTGCTGAGCCTGGGGAACAGCATGCATGCTTGCTCTCTCCAGAACAGTGCATGAGTGATGTGGTCATGCTGGTGCATGAGGAGAGTGCAGTCACTGTCAGTGACACTGGCTGCAGGTGAAGTGCTGCTACCAAATAGATACAGTAATGGAGGTTTTTCTTACTCAATCTTTGCTGTTTGCTTACAAGCTGTGAAAGTAAAAACTTCTGTGTAGTTAATATGAGAATCTTGCTATGTAAAAATGTAATCTCCTGCATTTGACTGTGTCCCTTTAAATTCTCCGTGGTAGAATGCACAGCTGCCAGATCTGTAGGTGTTCGTGCTGAGTGGTGCAGTTGGTTTCCTTGAGGGATGGAATGTCATCCAGAGGGACCGTGACAGGCTTGAGGAGTGAGCCAACGGGGCCAAGTGTAAGGGTCTGCACCTGTGTTGGGGCAGTCCCCAGTGTCAATGCAGACCTGGAGGGTGAATGGATTGAGAGCAGTCCAGCAGGGAAGGACTTGGGAATACTGGGGAATGGAAAACGACGTGAGAGCAATGTGCAGTTGCAGCCCAGGAAGCCACTTGTAGGCAGTGGGTACTGGAAAGATGTGTACCTGTTAGAGCTGGTCCAGAGGACAGCAACAGTAATTACCAGAGGGCTGGGACACCTTTGTTTGAAGAAAAGCTGAGAGAGTTGTGGGTTTTAGCCTGGAAAAGAGGATTTTCTGGGGAGACCTTATATTGGGATCTTTCAGCTTAAAGGGAACATGTAAGAAAGGTGGAGAGAGACTTTTTAGCAGGGCCTGTAGTGACAGGACTTGTGGTACTGGTTTTAACCTAAAAGAAGGTAGATTTAGATTAAGAAGAATTTTTTATGATGAGGGTGGTGAAACATGGGCACAGGTAGCGCAGAGAGGTGGTAGGTGCCCCATCCCTGGAGACATTCAGGATCAGGCTGGATGGAGCTCTGAGTGACTTGGTGTAGGTGATGTCCCTGCTTATTGAAGAGTTGGACTAGCTGACCTTTAAAGGTCAGCCCAAATCATTCTATGATTTTATGACACATTCCAGAAAAGGGTATTTCTTGGTAAAGTCCTCTAAAATGTAGGAACTTGACAGAGAGGGAAGCAAACATAGTTGAAACAATGCCTGGTAAGGAATAAGCCACGTTAACATCTCCATGTACAACTGCAGTTCAGGAGTCATATCTGGCAGGGATTAGAAATTGGCTTTTCTTTCTTTTTTCGCCCCAGATCTTAAGTGAAAAGGTGTTAATGGTTTTATGGGATTATATGTAGATATGTGTATGTATAGTTATAAAACTGTCTTAACAGCTCTCTCTGTTCACAGAGAATTTAGTGCTTTGGGCCTCAAAAAGTAATCCCAAACGCTGCAGAAAAGGGTAAACTGAAAGGCTTTTTTTACTGAAATGCAGAGTGGCTCCCAAGAGAGGTAGGAAGGAGGGTGGAAGGCAGGAGAATATAGTCATGTTTGGGGTCTGATCCTATTTTGTAAAGAAATCGAAATGTGATGAGAACTGAAAACCTTTTCCTAATTCTTGGCCGTATGCCCAAGAACAGGAAGAATTTAGTGAAGCCCATAAAATTGGCAATAGCTGCTGATGGGATGGGCTTTTTAAATTTTGGTCTTGTCTTTCTATGGTAGAGGAATCCAGCCACAATGAATAAGGAAATCTAGGCAAATGAGAAACTACCGAATGGTAGTTCTTGCTATTCTTTCTTCTTTAATTTGTGAATATAGCCAATTAGTTACTACTGTTTAATCACACATTAAAAGCTCTGATGGGATTAGGTGCAGGGGAGGACTGTGCAGAGTCCAGAGGAAATGAGCAAACTCATTTTAGTGCAGACACTGGTGCAACCTGAATTTTATTTTAGTTTCACTCTGGAATTGGTGTCAGGTTACTGGAACTCAGGTGTTCCAAAAGCAAATTAAAATACCAAGTTTTTTAATGAGGATGGATGGGCATCAAAACCTTAACTAAATCTGGTCACATTTTGATATAAATTTCATTTTGTCATATAAAAGCCAAAGCAGATTTCAAGCTGGCTTTGTTCATGGTGCATACTGTGTTTTTAGTAAGATATGCTTTTCCTTGGCTTTATGATCTGTTAAAAAGCTGAAAATACCATGTCAAAGCCCTGAACTGGTTAATGCCTAGTCTTGTTAATATGGATGGTGCTCATTCCTAGCATGTTGGTGGATCTTAAATTGGAAGTGGCCCTGGGTTTGGTTTAAATTTTCTCTAATCAACTTATTTAAAGGAAGCTCAGTTGCCTTGTTAGCTTTGCCAACTCTGCTCTCCTATTTCTCTGCAGACTGTTGCTCCTATTTTAAGTTGTAATTATTGTTTCAGAAATCATTTATGCTGGAGAATGAATTTTTATTTGGTTCTCAGTGTGCATGATTGAAAACTTTTGAGTAATCAACCCTAAAACATTTGAAATGCTTAACAACTGGTACCTCATGAAACAGAAATTAATTTCTGGTCAATGTCAGGTTTAAATTAAAAAAAAAATCTTGTAAATAAATGTTTGTAAAAATAATATTTCTACAGTAAAGAACATATTCTCCACATTTATGCAATAAATCAAACACAATTTGATTTTTTTTAAACAGGGGAAGGCAGTAGATCGTACATGGTAATACTGATTGGTGATACTATCAGGTGTTTTTAGGGATATTAAGATGCATGTTTGGCTTTAGCAAGGTGACAAAAATGAGCAGCAGCAGCAGCCTGTTACTGTCAGGTGCACTTACACTGTTCTCATAAGTTCATGGGCACTTTCACTATCAAGAAAGTGAAATTGTGAGCTGCCAAAAATTCTGGAAAGCAGTTTTCAGAACTTCTGTCCTGAAAATTAATTTCTACTCATATATAAACAAGGGTATCTGTTAAATTTTATGTAGTAGCACTTAATGTTGAACAATATGTTTCTAACCTGACAGTGTCCCTAAATTATTACCATGTCTGTTTGCTTTCATTTTCCAGCTGGGTTTTAATTTTGCATGCATTTCAGTGAACTATTATGCATAGTAGTCGTTTCCTGGAAGCATTTTGGGGTTCTGTCTGTTAATGCTCTCCAAAATGAGCAAGGTAGTGGGATTTATTTTCCTTTTGTGGAAGTTTGTTAGCTAATGAACAAGCAATGCAGAAGTGATTCCGCTCTATTTGTGTATCAGCATATGGTCTTGAACTTAATCTTATTTGAAGAACTGCTGTAAGTAAGAGGAATCTCTTCTTTTTAATGACAACCCAAACAACTCCAAAGTTTAGTAGAACTAAATACTTCTGTTTTGAGAAAAAAAATTAAATTATGGTTGGTTTGGCAAAACAGTTTGTAATGTGTAATGCTTGTCCTTAGTTTATCATAGGAGCCTCCGTGAAGCTGTTTTTTTGAAGTAATGCCAATAGAAAGTGGAAGTTGTGCAGCTGCTCGCCAGGCAAAGCAGAAACGTAAATCCCACAGCCTTTCCATCCGAAGAACCAACAGCTCCGAGCAGGAACGGGCAGGACTGCAGAGAGACATGTTGGAAGGGCAGGTGAGGAAATGCACTGCTGCTCGGGCAAATTCTGTCACCTCTTTAGGTGTTTTCTATGGGGAGAAATGAAACCAACCTAAGTAATGAAGTATGTCCAGTAAAGGTGCAGCAACAGCAGATTGTGTTGCCTGTAGGTGCTCACTGTCCTTGGAGACCATCGATGTGGATGTTGACAGTGTTTCAGGTTGTGTTGAGACCTGTGGAGTTTTTGATCTGCTTTTGGGTATTCTTAGATGAATGATAAAACTATAAAACAATATAAAGAAACAGCCTGTTTACTTTAGTGCATACACACCCCCAAAGAAAAAGAAATAAGAAATTCAGGATTGATTCTTGATTCCATATGTTTGAATTTGGAATAGTAATAACCTAGGAATATGGAATATTTCTTATGACAGCTCTGATAGGGAATGTGAGTGGGAATGTTGTTCTGCATTCCTTTCCATAAAGTAAACAAATATTGCCTGCTTGGCAGAGGCAAGAGCCGACTCAAATGTTTGCTTGTGTGTGGGTTTTTGGGTTTTGTGTATTTATGAATTATTTGGCTTGAATGAAGATGTA